CCTGGATTTTATCTTGGCGCATCCGTCCCCCATGTAGAAAAAACGTTGGGCTGAGTGGACCGCAGCCCCCATTCGATCATGAGCGAATGTTGATTGTTAGGTTTGTTGTGATTTTTGTTCTGGCGTATTTTGGCCTGCACGAAGGTGTTCGGCCGCTATACTAAGCCATACTAAGCCTTCACGCCGCTGTACACCCTTGCAAGTGCAGCCGGTCACTGGCATCCAAGCGGTTGTTTGTTTTGTTGTTTTGGCGCACTTTTTTACCGCCACAAGTCGATGGTTCCAAGGTCCTGGTGCAGTGGCACAGCTCGTCCGGGAAGACGGCTGACACGCGGCTCAGGCCTGGCGGGGCATGCGACTCGCACGGCCCCTCCTGCCGAAGGGCATTGCAAAAAGCTCGTGCAAAGCCAGCTCGGATCCGACAGCACTGTCACAGGCCTCGCCGGGCAGCTGGAGAAGTGACGTCGCCAGCGCGCTGCGCTGCCACATGCTGCCACAGAGATGATGCCGCTCCACCGCTGGACCCAGGCGCGGGACGGAGCGCAGGGGTCGCACTCGCCGCACGCGCACGCGCAAGCATGCGGCGGAAGGCTGCGTGCGGCTTCCGGAGCCCAGCGCCCGCAAAACCTCGACACCAAACACGACGAGGTGGCAGCGGCGTGAACGCTCTAGCTCCGGGTATGTCTGCCGTCGCTTGCGGTTGGTTGCATTGCGGAGCACCGTGCCGGGCACAAAATCTGCACGGGGTTGCGGCGTTCCATTGCGTGCGATGGGGCTGACGATGGTGGCGAAAACCGCAACTCGCGCGCCATGCCAGAAAGGCGGCCCATTGCAAACGACCTCGATGCGCCGCGCATCGTGGACCGGCACATGGGGGTTCGTCATTGCAACCAACCTCACATTCTTCCCAAGGCGCGCGCGTGCTTCCTCGCAAACTTTGGCGATGGCACGCTCCAAAGGCAAGGCCCGCAAGGCGAGGACACCTGACGTGGCGCAGGCTGCTCGGTGATCCCAAGTGCATCCAGTGCGCAGCGACAGGCCGAGCCGCAGCGGCAGGGCAGACGCCAAAGAAGGAGGACGCGAAAGAGCGGGCTGGGCACGGGTCCGGACCAGGTTATACAACATTCTCAAATGCTATGTGCCGTGGCAAGAAGAGGGTGTTGGGGAGCCGGGGGGAACGTTGTCCCCTTTACTGCCCCTGCACGCTGGCGGCTTTTGTTTGCGATCGGCCGAAGCCATGCGCACGGCGGCACTTTGGGCATCTTGTGCGGGCATTCTCCCAACACTTCATGGGAGACACCCTGGGCTCGTGGAGGGGTTGCTCAGCCAGGTAGCGTCGCGACGCGGGGAGGCTTTCGTCCGTGTTTGCGTGGCCGCCGCTTTGGCCTCGCAATCTTGTTTACAGTGAGAACCGGCGGGATTCGGCGCGAAGATTCCTGCCGTGAGGAATCGGCAGCGCGGAAATTTGGCAACGCCCTGGACGCAGCGGCGCTCGAAAACATTGCTGTTGTGGGGGCGGTCCCGATGACGCCCCGGGATCACGGAAGGCGACTTGGGACAAACAACGTGCGGCAAAAAAAAAAAAAAAAAAAAA